CCCTACACATTAAACCTAGGTATTTTGCTGAAGAGTTGGTTTGAACTTGGCTGTCGGTACTGTTCTACTTTCTACGTAAAGGTAGTTCTCCTTTAGCAATTGGGAACATTTTCTTTTGTGTTGCAGTGAAAAAGAAACAGGGAATGCTGATAGATGGCTCCGCTTCCTCTTGTCTTTTCTCCCTATCTATCCTTCTTGAAGAGGTTTTAACCAACTGGTTTTAACATTGCAGTCATATAAATCCCCCCATCAATTTTCAGCAATAGCAGTTAGATTTTATTTACGCTCTTAGTAGTTCCTGTTCTTCTGGTGTTTGTTTATGGAGACTCTTGGCATTGATGTAAGAACCCTAAATAATCATTTTGCTTCATTTTCTGTGGTGTTTTGCTCAATTTTGTTTTACCAGCATGAATTTGCACTAAATGACTGTACTAAATTATTCCCTTCTTTCACTCTTACTGCTGTTAATGTAAAGTCTTCCTCCTTAATCTAGTCAGATTAATCCTAAAATGATTTGTTAGTGGGAGGCCATCCAAATTGTGTAGGGCTTTCTGCTCAGATGATAAGGAGCTCATGCTCCATATAAGCTAAACTGTCTATCATTTAACTAGCCAGAGATTTGCTTTCAGTTTGCAGGCTTTTATCTTTCTTTGCTCATGGGATTATCCCCACAGTCTTTGCATTTATTAAAAAAAGTTTAACTAGCAAACCGCATTAAATATTATCCAACTATTCCCAGGCAAGGATATTTGCAAATCAGTCAACCATGGCTGTGAACATGCTTGTGTTAATGCTGGTGATTCATTTGTTTGTAAGTGTCGGGAGGGATTCCTGCTAAGAGAAGATGGAAAAACATGTAAAAGTAAGTAGTCTGCTATTTATCAGCATACTTTTTATCTGCAGCCCATGTTTGTGTAGAAATGCATTAACCAGCAAGAGCTGTCATCTGTTTTCAGATAAAGATCTTTGCAGATCAGTCAACCATGGCTGTGAACACGTTTGTGTTAATACTGATGATTCCTATATCTGCAAATGCCATGATGGGTTCCTACTGAGAGAAGATGCGAAAACCTGCAGAAGTAAGTAGCATGAGAACTTAATTTGATGAATTACACATATTACCAAGGCCTCTGCTGATGTATGTTGACTACCAACTCTTCTGTTTGCAGACAAGGATGTTTGTAATTCAGTCAATCACGGCTGTGAGCAAATTTGTGTGAATACTGAAGATTCCTACATCTGCAAGTGTCATGAAAAATTTGTGCTGAAGGAAGATGGAAAAACATGTAGATGTGAGTAGCCTGAGCTGTAGAGTATGTTTATGTTTGAAGCTTTTAAGTGTTGTGGCTGTGACTGTTTGCACATGTATACATTTATTTGTGATTTCCAGTTATTGGAGCTGGTTAATATAAGATATTACCTTACCCTAACAAATGTCACCTCACAAACTCCATCCACTCTTCTCAGATAAAGATGTTTGCAACTCGGTTGACCATGGCTGTGAACATATTTGTATTAGTACTGACGATTCCTATATCTGCAAATGTCATGAGGACTTCATGCTAAGGGAAGATGGGAAAAGTTGTAGGAGTAAGTTGTTTAATCTTTGTTTTGTACTTCTTGATCTGTTAATGAAACACACTATGCAACAGTAGTGTGTTACTTGTTTCTTTAATATAGAATCAACTAATGGAAGTGAGCTCCTTCATGGAAGACTATTGCCATAATTTTTACATATTGTGAAAGGTTTTTTTCCTAGCTAACTGTGCTAAATATAATTTTCATTATTCCAAGGTAAAGATATCTGCAAAACAGCCAACCATGGTTGTGAACATGTCTGTGTCCCAACTGGCGATTCATACACGTGTCAGTGTCACAAGGGATTTATATTGAGGTGAGACAGGAAAACATGCAGGAGTGAGTAGCTGAAACTTTTATGGGGAATATGTTTTTTCAGTCATTAAAATTAAATCTGTCATTTCTTTTCTCAAAGCTTGTTCATGCCAGTTTTGCGTTTGAGAAATAGTCTAATAAGGAAATTCTCTTAACAATTTTCAGATAAAGACCTGTGTAAATCCATTGACCATGGCTGTGAACACGTGTGCATTAATAATAACAATTCATACAGCTGTCAGTGCCATGAGGGTTTTGTCCTGCGACAAGATGGAAAAACATGTCGAAGTAAGTAACTGAATATGTCTGTCAGCCACTCCTCTCTGGTGTTGCTACATAAATGAACAAAGATGTTATACTCCTTTGTCATACATTCATCAAATATGATATTTGGAGTCTTTGAATTTCTAAATATGTTAAATAGAATACATATAAATATTTCAATTTTTCCTAGATAAAGATGTCTGCAAATCAGTTGCCCATGGCTGTGAACATATTTGTGTTAATAATGATGATTCATACATCTGCAAATGCCAGGAGGGATATGTACTAAAAGAAGATCAGAAAACATGCAGAAGTAAGTACATTTTATTTAGAAAGCATTTGCTTCTTTGATTTCTAAAATTACTTGACCTCACTTCAAATGCCTTACTTCAAAAAAAGCCTCACTTCAAAACTGATATAATATTTGAAAGCCCAAAGCATATGTGACTGTGATGGAAAATGTCTTGAACAATTAACTTGATGCTCTTGTAAGCAAAAAACTAACAAATTGGAAGTTGGTTTGCTATAGCATCAAGTACAATAATAATTCTTTCCAAACATCCGGAAAAAAGCCAAAGTGAAATCTTATTATCAAGGAATGTGCACTTTAGTCAGATTCCTATATACTGTGGAGCTTTTATCTGTATATGCTGCATTTTAAAACATCATTAATTCTATTTGCTTATCTTCTAACATGACATGCTTAGAATATGACATGCATTTATCTCATCACCCCTTAATACTTGGAGGAGAAACTCTTCTACTGGCACTCAGTAAAAACACTTATTCTGCAAAAATGGGTGCCTTACTTGGAGAGACTGTTATTACCAAAAGAATGGTAACGTGTTCATGGCTGACCTCAACCCTAACTAAAACCGTTCACCATGAACTGCTGCCCTGTCTTGACTTATGCAATGATATTGAGGTGGTTCTGGTACTCACACTCATTACTTTTCCATTGCTTTAGTACGTGACACATCTTTTCCTCAGATGACTGCAGAAAGGAATTTTTGGACAGCATTCTAAAATAGCGCTGTTTTCTAAGAAGAAAAGCCCAAGCTTTAAAGCTGGAAATACCTGTTACCAAGTCAGTGTAGGAATAAGGAATCTTCAGTATTTCTGCAGTCAAAGCAGAAATAAACATCGAAAGAACATACGTGGAGTTCTCTTTTGTGGGAGATCTACTCTGATAACTTTCACTCTTGAGGTATCTAAAGATCCCAAATCCGCACTTAATGCCCTCCAGACAATCACCTTCGGGATCTTCTAGTCTAGTCTGCAGTCAGTTTAAATAATAAGAAATGTTACAGACCCTTCCAGTTACCCTGTACAACACACAGGCATTTATAAATCTTACAAAGCACAGGAAAAGTAGCATTGCTGGTTTCTGTGATTGAAGGCAGAGACATAGAGCACTTGTAGTGGCTTTGAGAAGTGATCTAGTTCATGGCATATGCTTGAGGCAGAATCACAGTATATATATCTAAAAATTTCTGATAGATGTTTCAGTGATGGTTCAAAAACTCTCTAATGACAGAGTATGGTTTCAATGTCCCAAGTGGTCTGTTTTCATGGTGTTATCTTTATATTTTTTTCCCTTACAAGCAACTATCTTTACAGCAGATGAAGCCATTTGCTACCTTTTCTATTCAATGAGAACAACTGATTTATTATCTTGTTTAAAATAATCCCTTTCTACATCTTAGAAGGGTGTTATCATGCTTCGTATTCATCTTTCCTTTCCTTAAGCAAACAATCTCTGCTCCTTCAAGCTTTCTTCATGTGTCATGCTTTCTAAATATCTCATTGCTCTTGCTATGAAACTCGGGACTCTCTGATTTGCCTTTGAGAGTGATACTCAAAACTAAGCACTGTATTCATCTGAGACTTACCAACTACTGAACACAGCTGCACAATTCTCTCGTGTATTGTGCTTACTGCATTCTTCCTATATAAACATCAGAAATGAGTGGAGGTCAAGGTTCATTTGGTCCAGACTAAGATGCAAATCTTACATTCCTTATCTTGGCAAATTCTCCCTTGGAAGTTGCATTGATCAAATAGGAGTTGAGCATCTCTGCAGCCAGCCCCTTGCACAAAGCACACTAGTCTATGCCTGATGGAGGCAACTGCTTTCCAGAATAAAAAAAACACCTGGCAGAACCACCCCATCTGCAGCTTCAAAGACATTCTGCAGTCCCTAAATCCACTAATCTCGTCATGGATGCAGGGTGCCTATGAACTACTTGCCAAAAAGTATAACAACTCCAAATTTGTCAGTCTCCTGAATTGTCTCCCAGCTTTAATAGGTAAACCAGAAAAGATTAATTTCAGCAATACATAAGCCTTCTAATTACAAGACAGTTAGAGAGTTAGAAAGAAAACAACATATATATATATAAACAATTCTGATCCAAGTTTAGCAGCTAGGCACATTTCTAGCATCTACTCTCTCACTTACAATTTTTCAGCTGTTTTTCTGGCAGTAGAGGTTTACATTTGTGCTATAAAAACATGTGCATTGTCTGAATTTTGTCCCCAGACTTGAACCTCATCCTAAGCTGTAGGGCAGGCTACCTAACCCTTCTCTTCTCGCTCAGCCTTTCCCAAGCTCTTTGGCTTTTGCCTCACTGTTCCCTGCCACTCTAAACATGACTCCTAGATTTTCACCTTGTATACTAAGTATAGCTTCATTGACTCCTTTCTTTGTACCACCTTTATCTTTTTTCTACTTCTGTAACACAAATGCAGCTGCAATGATTCTCTTCCACATTTTTCAGTGCTGGTCATCTACACAAACGTAAAGTTAGCATACTGGCCTATCCCTAGAAGTAAATGATGGCAGCTATGTCTATATCCCAGCTGTGTTCTTCAGTTATACACTTCCCTCCACTTAACAGTAATTCGTAAAATTTTCTGATTTGCTGTATTTTTAGGACTTGTAGTATTCTACAAAGCAGCATGTCTCAGTATGTATTCACTGTGATGATATTCTTGTTAAACTCTGGGTCATAGGCACACTCTTAGCTTTTGATATAGACTGTACACAACATCTTTAGACACACTGGCAAGGTTGGATAAGCCAGGAACAAGGTGCTCTAGATGACCTCTGAGTTTATGTGGTCCCTGGGTATCTAGATCCCTTTTCAGCTTTGTGGAGTTTTTTCATGATCTGAACACTGTGCTGCTTATTTCACAGTATGCACTGAAGGCCCAGTTGACCTGGTGTTTGTGATTGATGGATCAAAAAGTCTTGGAGAGGATAATTTTGAAATTGTAAAGCAATTTGTCTCAGGAATCTTGGATTCACTTGAGATTTCACCCAAAGCTGCTCGAGTTGGTTTGCTTCAGTATTCCACTGAAGTTCGCACAGAGTTTACGTTAAGGCAGTTCAGCTCGGCCAAAGACATGAAGAAAGCTGTATCACAAATGAAATACATGGGGCGAGGTTCCATGACAGGACTGGCTCTGAAGCAAATGTTTGAGAGAAGCTTCACAGAAACAGAAGGAGCTAGGCCATATTCAGCAAATGTCCCTCGAATCTCCATTGTGTTTACGGATGGACGAGCCCAAGATGAAGTCTCTGAGTGGGCTGCTAGAGCAAAGCGAAATGGTAAGTGGAGATGGTTTTGACTCATTCTAAAAGGCAAATATTGATAGAAATAAGATGTGGCTATAGTATGGATGTGCTACAGTATGTGCTAATCAAGAGAGCGTTTACCATAGCAGGCTGGCTTGTACAGTGACCACTGCAGCAGAACATCAGATCTTTGGTGTTCACAGAAGCCTTTGCGACAAGGCATGTATGTCATCCTTAGGGCTGGACCCATGATGAATGTCCACCACTGGGGTTCTGTGCCACCCACAGGTAGTGATACTACCCACCTAGCATGCCGTGCAGTGCCCGAAACATATCTGCTAAGGGTAGACATTTGATACGGAGATTTGGAAACATTGGGAACTTCAAAAATTCTAAGAAAACTATTTTAAAAACCCCAACCTGTCTCTTCAAAATAGAGAAATCTATCCTTCTGGGAGATACCATGGCAATAATTGGCTATGTTATATATTAATTTCTGTATATTCTGTATTTTTAACCAATTTTATAGTGCTGATGGTGTTCTGGAAGGAAGATGGGTCCTCTTTACAAAAGGATATAGCTGTAGTGATGTCTTTCTGTTTCTGAGTGCCTTATCAGATGATATGCTGAAATGTAACTGAAAACTGGTGATTTTTAATTTAAAGTATGTCTGGGCAGAAATCCATCCTCTAGGACACCTGTGCCACAAATCAGAAACTTTTCAGCTGTTTAGCAGAGTCAACTGAAAATTGTCAAAACTTTTCAAGAAAATAAAGGATCACTTTTTTCTTCGCAAAACATTTTCTATTTTATGAGAAACTGCTGTAAGAGCCGTGGCTGATGGCCCACAACACAGAGAAAATAGCCAGACTTTAGAAGGTGCTGCACATCTTTTTCCTGTTCTTGTTTTATTGACTTGATATATCAATCATAACTTGATCTGTGATTAGCATAGCATTGGTCAGGACTGGCATCTCTCTGTAAGGAGAAAACAGAAAAATCTCGAAGGATATGAGAAGAGCATGTGTTAACAAGGGTGCCAGTACAATGAAATATAAACAAAGTGGTTTTTAAAATATTAAAAACAAAACCAAAGATTAGTACACTAACTAGCAAGATCAAAGAAAGCATATGCAGGATTTACGGGACTGAAGAAGGAAAGTACAAGCCAACCTTGCTTGCTTACTTGCTGAATGAAACCTCTGTTCCGGACTGCTTACACTGATATTTGTAACGCTACAAGCCAAATCCATCCCCTGTGTAATTGCAGCGTAGGCAATGTAGTAATGCTGAATATGAAATTGGCCTTGAATGCTTTATCACTGATATCTCCAAGTCTTTAAAAAGCAACAGACCTCAGCATGACTGGTCCATTCATTAAACTGAATCAGCTTCTGGTGAATGTTTTATTTTCCTGGCTAAAGTGCAATGGTAGGCAGATTCATGACGAAAAGTAAGGGGATGCTTACGTTAAATGTTAAAGAGCTGGAAAAATGCATATTTTATTACGTTATCAGGCCCAGGATTCCTCAGCAAATAGGTTAAAGTTGCAATTCAGTGAGTGTGTAGCTGTTGTTATCCTGTGATAATAAAAAGATATCAAACCTCCTCACCCTAAGTTTTATCTGAAACTAACCAGCTGAGAAGGCAGCTTCTGCTCTTGAATCTTGTAAAAGAGCTTGAAATACCATGAAGCTAATAGTTATATCAGGAATCACAAAATCAGTACTAGTTATGGACACTTTCTAAGCCAGAACTGAAGTAAAGAGAAATGTTGTATCAAATCGTATGTTCACAGGAATAAAAAAATCAATTATTAATTAACTGCTGAAAAAGGAAATGTTGAAGATCACAATGTTTTGTACTCATTGCTTGTTTAAAATCTGTCCAGTGAGAGGGCTGTGAACCACGTCTTCCTGCCCTGCTTTCAGAGTGAAGAAAACAGTGAATTCTCTTTAACTTTTTCCCTAGCACCTCTGCCAGGAAAGTGCTTGTCCTGAGTATCCCTGTTGTAAGGCTCTTTCTCTCCTAGCCCCACAAATCATTTCTTTTCCCCTGTTCTTCTTACCCTCGTGGGTCTGGGTGCCTTTGCAGTGCCTCCCAGCCCACTAGCATCCCTTAGAGTGCAAGAATCTAGTCTCAATGTGCTCTAAGGATTTGGATGAAACACTAAGTACTTAGATTTTTCTAACAATTACTGCCATCTTCCAGGACTCTGCCCCGCAGGTCTCCCCATCAACCTGGTAATTAGCTTTATTGCTGTGTACACAAACACACACAAACCAGGACTTTTCAGTACAACCATGAGGCTGACTTGTGCGATTCTCTTGGATGTTTTACAGTACTCTCTCTGGGTTCATTTACTATCAGTACTGGACAGGCAACTGTCGTCTCTAACTTAAAGATGGGTTTCTACACATCTTCTCAGTAACTAAAGCATATTAAGCCTGTTCAAAAGCAATTTTGAAGTTATGCAACACATGCATTTCTTGTGCTCTCCCTTTCTCATATTTTCCTTGCATGGAAGAACAAGCGTTTAGAACTGCTGATGTAATAATTATGTGCAATTTCTTTTGAATATAGGTATAATTATCTATGCCATTGGAATAGGAAAAGCAATTGAGGAAGAACTGCTAGAAATTGCTTCTGAGCCATCATATAAACATCTCTTCTATGCTGAAGATTTCACAGCAATGGAGGACATAAGTGAAGAGCTAAGAGCCCAAATCTGTGAAGGTAACAGTATACCACTTTCATTGAGATAGAAGAGGAACGAATGCTTACAGATTTTTATTTCTTGCAGGCCTAAAAGGACAACTAGTGTCATAGTATGGGTCATAGATCATTGATGTCAGACATTGCAAGGCATAAGTCACTCACAGTAATTTTTCTGCTCTTTAATATGTAAGGATATATACACTTAATCCATCACCAGGTAAAGGTATATAATACTTGTCTTTCCTTTATTTTCATAAAGGTTGCAAAAAATGTACACTTTGCTCAAAATGATCAATTGCTCCCTCCCCTTTCTTTTTCTACAGTTAAGTCAGCCATGCACTGAACCCCACCCTGCCAAAGAGGCATGATCTACTTCATTAGGAATGTGGGAAAATAATCAGGGATTTATAATGTCTTAATGAGAATAAAAAATTACTCTTAAGGTCAGTGGCAAAAAACTAAAACACAGCAAAACAAATCATCAAGAGCTGTTACGCATATTTATAGAAGACTAAAAAGAGTTCATTGAACATACGTTCACAGCTACAAAAAAGGGATCTCAGTTATGCATAAGCTCCAAGTTGTGGTTCACAAAAAGTGGAAGGTTTGTTCCAGAAAGCACCCTTCCTCACTCTGGCACAAACAGCCTCTATATAAACATTCCCAGCTGAAGTTTTGCAAGGGCAAGGGGGAATGTGAGCTGGGACAAAAGCTGTTCAGACAGAGAGAGGACAGCATGTCTCTGCCACTCACACATTCCCAGGACTTGGTATTATTTGTACATTCAGATTGGTACCTGAAGAAAAATTCAGAAACATCACTGAATAATATTGGTCATAACACTAGAATTGTGCAAGATGATTTAATTTTCACTAGCTTTTCTTTGGCTGTTTTTCGTGGAATTAAACACAAACAGATTTTCTTCTTTAACTTTACTGTGTAATATTGGCTGGCAAACCATGGTTTAGTGGTGGACTTGGCAGTGCTAGGTTAATGGTTGCAATTGATGATCTTGCAGGTCTCTTCCAACCTAAATGATTCTATGATTCTAAGCAGCAGTGCATTTCTTCCTCATACAGATGTCAAGGAAGAATCTGAAAAAAAGAATCCTAGAGTGTTTCCTAAATTACATATTCTTTGCATTTCTCTCAGTCCTAAGAATCTCCTAGCTCCATCTTTCTGAACTACAAAATACTATAACATGAAACCAAGTTTGTTTGTTAACCTTTTTACTAGGAAGATAATCTGCTGATGACAGCATGTCATCTTAAAAGCTTGGGGAGACACCAAAGCCAAAACTATCTGGCAACTGGTATAATAATTCTCACTCATTAGCAAACCCCAGAGCTTGGTGATGGAAATTCATCTTTCAGGTACCCACAGCCGTGTTTAGCAACCATGATTTTCCTTTTTCTTTTTTTAAACTACATTACCTACCATATGAAAAATACAACCTGCCCCTTTGTGGCAGTTTCTAGACTACACCTCCACAGAACTGGGCAGAGCTGGTGCCTCTGTTTTTGTCCTCCTCCTCCTCTCACCAACAGGCAATGCCTCACAGCCTTGTTTTTCTGGACACTCCAGGACTATCTATTGCTCATCAACTCACTCCACCAGAAATTCTGCCTCCAAGCCTTTTAGACAAGCTGAAAGTTTTTTTTTTCCCTCTCTGTGTTTTGGTTTACAGTCTAAATTTTTTCCCTCCTTTGCAACAGCAGTAATTTCATTTTGACTCCAGCCTTGGTCCTTAGCTGAGGACTTCTGAGGCTCCAGCCTGTGAGGGCAGTGGGAGACCCTCTGAACCTCATGGACTCCACTGACAAAGCCTCTCATAACCAGTTCCAGCTGTGGATGGGCTGCATGTTTCCAAGTAAAGCAGAAGCCCTCCAAATCTCTTTTGGGGTAAGGCTTTTTCCTTTTATTCTGCAAGAAAGCATCAGCCTTGTAGAATAGCCACTGATTACTATTAATTATTCTTAGTAGTAAAAAAAAAAAAGTGGTTTTCTCTTTTGTCTCTTAAGAGGAATTCAGTTAGAAGGTTCCTATTCATTGCCTTGGTTAATGTTCATTTCTCATCTGCCTGGAAGCACTAACGAGGCTACAGCAATGTCATACATAGTACACACCCATCATGATTGCCTCTTCACCCCTGTTCTGAACATGTGCATTATGGGAGCCCTTAATTACATCGATACTTACTATTTTTGTCACAAGACCCCATCCCTCATCAGATGATAGTACTCAGCAGCCTGCTGGTTAGCCTTCTGTTCTCCTTCCAAATTGTGGATCCTTACCACTGCTGCAAATAGTCGTCCACTGCCTTTGAAGACACGCGTTTTTGAAGACACTTTCTGACTAGCTTTTCCCAACAAAATAATTAGGTTTTGTTACAAAACAGAACACTAAAAACAAACACCCAACTTAGCACTTGTTCCCCAATGAAGTTGAATATTCATGTTCACTGCAACGGACTTCATCAAGGGACTCAGTTAGGGTTAGGAGCCTCTGTTGCTACTTGTCTGATTATTCAAAGCTTTATAGGGGTGATGAGATCAGAAATCTTTGGGCCCAAACCAGTTTCTGAAGCCTGAAGAGGAGTTTCTGAAATGCCCAATTCCCATCCCAACCTGGAAATCTTCTGCCACATCTCTACCAGTGTGTCTGTCAGTCTTGCTTCTTTCCTAGCCCTTACATCTGAATCCTTACTACTTGTCTATACCAGCTCAGTGTCCAAAGCTCAAAACTTTTCAGGTCAGTTCCTTTGCCCTTCCTAGAAAGCTTCCTCATTAGTCTACAGCTCTTAAATGACTTCTAGAACAAGTCATTACCCAGGATCAAACACTCAGTGTTCATCTTACATGTTTTGTCCCTCCTACACTGGAAATCTCATCATATTTGGTTGCAGTTGATCATTCTTCTGCTAGTCTCCTCACCCATCTTTTTCATTGCTTACCTTATGATCTCATCCCACACCTCTCTGCCCTGAACTCTTCTCCAAAATCTGTGTTCCTTCCACCAGCTGGCTCCCATGCAGACTTTTTGATACATACAGATATTGTAGGTTTGCCCACTGAACTCTTACTGAACCATTCATCTTTATTCATTCTCTGTTCCTCATGCTCAGTCATTCCAGCCCCCACTCAGAGGGACTCATTCCCTTCCCAGTGCAACTTAGCAGAGCTGCATATTATTGTGCATCTGTCAATATTCACTAGACCAACAGAGATCCCAATAGCTATAGCACACCTGTGAGGCCCAGAAGCATCTTCCACCTCCCTACCGCACCTTCATGGCATATCACAAGCATTTGCACCATCACCTTCTACACTCGCGCATTCCCTTTCAGTGAAGGAACTCTGGGTATATTCACAGGGAGTGAGTCCCAGGTGCTCCATCCACTCCCCTAGCATAGTTGATCAAGTCATGCATTTGTTAAATGTATGTTCTTCAGCTCATCTGGGCCATTAAGGGCTCCACAGAAGGTGAAGCATTTTTCTAGAAAAGAACCTATTCTTTAAGGAACCAAAGCTGCCTCTACATTACCCTCTTGCGGCAAGAAAGGGGTGGTGCACAGAATGACTCTACCTATATATATAAAACAGGTCCATTTCTCTCCAGACATCCTTTGACTAAAAAAGATGGGTATATAGAGTCTGAAATAAATTCTTATATTTTAAAGGCTGTGCTCCATGAATTAGAAACTTCTATTTTTGCTTGTAACTGTAGTGCATCAAATACACTACACCCTTCTCACCTAAAGCATTTCCAACTCCCTGATCAATGTTTCCCATTATAAAGGAGAAAACTGAAGGAGAACAAGAAATTTCTTCCATCTCCAAGCAGTTTTTATTCTTATCCAGTTCACCCCAAAGGCCTGATGGATGACAATGAAACATGCAAGAATTTTCACTTAAGGACACAAAGTAGGCTGCTGTCATTTCAGATTACTTTACTACTATTAATCTATTCATAAAGCATTTCTGATTTTGGAAGAGTTCATAGAATCTTAGGGTTGGAAGGGACCTGTAAAGGTCACCTAGTTCAATCCCCCTGCAGTAAGCAGGGACATCATCAACTAGATCAGGTTGCTCAGAGCCCCATCCAACCTGACTTTGAATGTTTCCACGGATGGGGCATCTACCACCTGTCTGGGCAACCTGTGCCAGTGTTTCACCACCCTCATTGTAAAAAATTTCTTCCTTATAGCTAGTCGAAATCTATCCTCTTTTAGTTTAAAACCATTACCCCTTGTCCTAACACAACCAGCCTTGCTAAAAAGTCTGTCCTCATCTTTCCTATAGGCCCCCTTCAGGTACTGGAAGGCTGCAACAAGGTCTTCCCAGAGCCTTCTCTTCGCCAGGGTGAACAACCCCAACTCTCTCAGCCTGTCCTCAGAGGAGAGGTGCCTCTGATCTTTTTTGTGGCCTCCTCTGGACCCACTCCAACAGGTCTACGTCCTTCCTGTGCTGAGGGCTCCAGAGCTGGACGCAGGACTTCAGGCGGGGTCACACCAGAGTGGAGCAGAGGGGCAGAATCTCCTCCCTCAACCTGCTGGCCATATTGCTTTTGATGCAGCCCAGGATATGGTTGGCCTTCTGGGCTGCAAGCGCAAATTGCCGGCTCACGTCCAGCTTTTCATGGACCAGTACCCCCAAGTCCTTCTTGGCAGAGCTGCTCTCGATCCCTTCATCCCCCAGCCTGTACTGATACCGGGGGTTGTCTTGACCCAGGTGCAGGACCCTGCACTTGGCCTTGTTGAACCTCATGAGGTTCACACGGACCCATTCCTCAAGCTTGTCCAGGTCCCTCTGGATGGCATCCTGTCCCTCAGGCGTGTCAGCCACACCACTCAGCTTGGTGTCATCTGCAAACTTGCTGAGGATGCACTCAATCCCACTGTCTATGTCATTGATGAAGATCAATGAAAAGCACTGGTCCCACTACAGACCCCTGAAGGACACCACTCATCACCGGTCTCCATCTGGACATTGAGCTGTTGACCACTACCCTCTAGATGCGATCATCCAGCCAATTCCTCATCCACCCAACAGTCCACCCACCCACTCTCCAATTTAGACTAGACAAGGATGTTGTGGGGGACTATGTCAAAGGTCTTACAGAAGTCCACTTCCCCTGTCCACTGATGTGGTCACTCCATCACAGAAGGCCACTAGGTTGGTCAGGCAGGATTTGCCCTTGGTGAAGCCATGCTGGCTGTCTTGAATCACCTCCTTGCCCTCCACATGCCATATCAGAGCTTCTGGGAGGATCTGTTCCATGATCTTCCCAGGCACAGAGGTGAGCCTGACAAGTCAGTAGTTCCCAGGGTCTTCCTTGCTATCCTTTTTAAAGATGGGCACAATGTTTCCCTTTTACCAGTCTCCAGGGACTGCACCTGACTGCCATGACTTTTCAAATACCATGGAAAGTGGCTTTGCAACTACATCAGCCAATTCCCCCAGGACCC